CTAGCACCCACCCCACAGCGGCGGGGGGGAAGAGCCCACCCCAGGCACCTCCACAAGGGCAGGCCGGTGGGTTCAAGCTCCTCCGAGCGCTGCATAGCACGGTGTTAGAGATGGTGGCGGGCAACAAGGGGGAAAAAAAGCAGGAGTGTGGGGGTAAAAGGAGAGCGCCCGAGGGGCGCAGGGACGCCGGCTGCTCCTGGGTCCCCGCAAGAGGCAGCAGGCAGCTCCAGGGGCAGATGAGCCCCAGGAGGTGTTACAGACCAGGAGCTAAACCTTTCCTACAGGATTGGGGGCAGCTGCGGAGAGCTGGCAGGGAGAAAAGCAGGTTAGAGGACTGCTGGTTTATTGTCTGAAGCAGGACAGAGCCGGGATGGGTGGTCCCCAACCCCTCCCAGGGTGCTGTCACCCAGAGCTGCCTCCTCACCCAGCAGCAGCTCTCCCACCCCACAAGTTCCACAACCAAGGCAACCCCCACCAAAAAGCTGCAGCAGACTAAAAATAAGTGCAGCAAGAGCAAGGGTATGGTACCCTGCCCGGCCAGGGAGGCTGGAGGCACAAGGGCACATTTCAGTGGCTGGCGCTTGCACACCCAGGAGACGTGCTGGAGAGAAGGGTTAGATGCTGAAGCAATGTCTGTTAGTGACAGCTTGTTACAGTTATTATTTATGCATCTGGGTTGTAAATGCAAAAGGTGAAGTCACTTAATCCATCATTTCTCAGACACTGATGACAGAGCACATGATTTGGCATAGTAAGTTTTAGGCTAGCTATAAATGAATTGCACAATATTTAAACCTGATAAAGTACATAATAGGCTCAGCAAAGGATTACTTTTCTCCTTATATTTTATACATCTATATACACACACACACACGCACACACACAGGCATTTTATCATTAGCTGCATTTTAGTCTTGTCAAGAGACAACTGCCTACTGCGGAATGACTGAAGTGATACCCTTAAAAAAGGAAACTATTCTTGGGGTGCTTTTCTGGCAAAGAGAAGTTCCTCTTTGGGGTGACTCTGGTGGGTAGGAGTTGCAGACAAGCGTCACCAGACAGCCAGAGGCATCGGGGACGAGGGGCTGGGGACTCGCAGGGCTCTGGCTGGCTGTGGGGACAAGCGTGGCACACAGAGCTCATTCCCTGCAGCAGGCAGGAGATAAGTATCTCCTGCCAAGAGCCAAGGGGCCGGAGCAGATTCCATTTGGGCTGCTTTTCTAGAACTTGGAGAGAAATTTGGCATGTTTAAAGTGCGTTTAGAGTCTGAAAAGCATCTTTGAGAAGGAGCTTTGCCCCACAGCATCCATCAGCTCCCATTTACAAACCGATCTGTTCCAGGGTCTTCCAGTCACCTTTCCCAGCTGCCACAGCCCAAGAGGTAAGTCTGAGCTCAGCTGCCTCCCGCAAGATTATTTAAATGACAATAATGATTTAATGAGTGCAAGATCATTATTTAAAGCCTGACCTCCCCTAACTGGGCAGGGATTCAGGGCTAACAGAAGCAGCAATCTCTGCACCAGGAAAATACATGGCTGTGTTTCACCACACTGTTCAGAAGCACAAGTGAGCAGGAATCCTCCCCCCCAGCCTGGAGGTTTCCTAAAGATCCTTAAATGAGTGCACGCCTCAAAAGCCAACAGGGACAAATCTTGGCCTCGCTATTTACATGGTTGGTGAGATCAGTTGTATGTGTTTGACATACAGGGTGGCAAGATTTGACCCAGAGCCTTACCCAAGAATAGGTCCTCCAAGAAACACTCTGCCAATTTTATAGCTGCTTTTCAAAAATAGAAGCCTTTTAAAAAAAAAAAAAAAACAACAAAACAACAGACTCAGGATGCGGAATCTAGAACAGGACAGTCGTACCCCCCAGGGAAAAACCTGTCCTCACTCCCCAACACACACACACAGCGCGCCAGGGCTCCTGCCCACAGTCACACAGGAATACTGGTCTTCCACATCAAAACATTTACAACACCACACACCGAGAGAACTTGTAGATCCTGAGCCAGGGTGTAAGATTAAGAGTCTCTTGGCTTCCAGCATATCAACAGCAGGATTTAGGGTTTCTTTTTTCCCCCCCCCTTTCTTCTTTTTTTTTTTTTTTCCCTTTTTAAATGCTAAATCAGCCAGCCATCTGCTAGTTAAAAAGCAAAATAAAAGGGAGAATTCCCAGGATTGCTTGCCCTTGCTGAGACGGTGGCAAGTGGCTGGATGCTGAGACTGAAAGAGAAAACTCATACACATCGGAAACCTTATTCCAAGAGGGGAGATGGGTGCTGGTTGCTATTTTTATCTTTCCCTTTTGGGTGGGGTGCGGGGGGGCTGTTTTTGTGGTTCTAATGTACACCTATCACCACAGTAATTAAAAACCACCACCATACACTATTTCACAGGGAAAAAGAAGACACATGAACGTACACTTACTACCACACAATAAGAGCCCTGCAGGTCAACTCACGGCCTCTTCAAAATTAAGAAAAAAAAGAAGAGCTGAAGACAAGAACAGGGGAAAGAAAAAAAAAGAAAAAATCCAAAATGATTTTGTTACAAAGGGTGGGAAAAGAAGAACTGTTACGGTACACTCCAGCTTTCTGAAATAGCTGCAGAAACTCAGCTTGGCCATCCTCCTCCTCCCTTTCCCCCCCCCCAGATCTTTCTTTCGCCTGAGGACAGAGTCCTGCTGCTCACATCTCGTTGGAGTAGGTGTAGTTTGGGGTGGCTGAGTACTGCGTCTCGTGCTGCATCATGGCCCCCTGCGCCGCCCCCATTGCCGCGCTCTGTGCTGCCTGCTGGACATGGGGGTTCTTCCACGCCCCCGTGGTCCACTCCTCCTGGGCTTTGCTGAAGCTTCCCCCACTCCCCCGGTAAAACTTGTGCACCTGTAGCAGATTGGAAAGAGAAAATCCAGAGATGTTGAGCAACTGCAGCTCATGCTGACCCTCCAAGGGTAGTGGTGAGGGCTCCCCTGAAGCAACATGGTACCCCCATACCATAGTGAGAGCGATGAAGGAGAAGACCGCCATCCCCGTGAACAGGACAGTGGGGATCAGCATCACCACAGCCGACCCCACATTGGTCCCGAAGAAGGAAATCGCTGCAATCCAGCCGCTGCAAGGAGATGGAAACAACCGTTCAGCAACCTGGGGCTTTTCCCGGCTGGCTCTACACACCGCAGCCTGCCAGCATCCCACCCCTGCAGCCCTCCCAGCTCTTCCAACCCTCTTCCCCAAGGAGAAAAGCTTCTGAAGCACCCAGGATGTTAAAACACCAAGAGGCCACAGCCACCAGCTCAACAGTGACTTGTCCTTGCACCCAACACTAGAGCAGTGTCTTCCTTACCAGACGCCCCAGCCAGGGATTCCCACTGCCTGGATAATGCTGATCACCAGCTGGGCCATGAAGGTGAAGAAGAAGGCCATGAAGCTGAAGGAACTATCTGTCCTGCAAGAGAAGGCTCAGTCACTCCCTACACCTCCATCCCTGCTGCACTACATGGGAAGGGAGATGCTCCCATGTCTCAGACCCTTTCGGGGCAGAAGCGGCTGTGGTTTAGCGAGAGGGTGGTGAGAATCAGAGCTGCCTGCAAAACAGCAGACGCCAGTGCAAAACGATAGGCAAGGGAGAAACTGCGAGAGGCTGAAGGTGGTGAAAGGGCATCTGGGGAAACCACGGGGCACTGGACCCTCCCCACAGCCCGGCCAGCTCTGCGCATCAGGCAGGAGGGCATCTGTGTCCAGACACGGCTCTTGGCTCACCCCACCCCACCATCAGACTCCACCTTCCTGCACAGGGAAGAAATACACCCCTGGTTTTCTAGATTTGGGGATCCTGCACTGGGGATTGACCTCAGCAGCACAGATAATCAACAGAAACATCTCATGGAAAAATATAAAAGAAGCCTCAAGGATGGGCAGGAGGGAAAAATTGGTGCCCCAACTGCATCCTCACCACTCCCCCTAAGGCTGCGCACGGGCACACACAGGGTGTCTTTATATCACCTAGTTGGGGTTTTGGCCTTTGGGAAATCCCAAACACCCTTGCTTTGAAGGTTAGAAAGTAAAGCTAAAGGGCTGGACAGAAAGAGTAGAAACTCCCCCAAATATTCAGGCAACACCCCAAGCTAAGCACTAACCATTTAGGAAGGAAAACAAAACAGAAAAAAAAGACCATGATAAGCCAGGCTCAGGGGTGACCACTTACTTGAAAGCTTTGTAAATAGGTCTAAACCAGCAGACATAGGAGCAGGGCGTAAAGAGAATGAGCCAGAGAATTGCCAGTCCAAAATTAACAGCTCCACCGCCTCCAATGAGCCATGCGAGGCAGCCAACGAGATTCACCGCCAAGGTGATGCTGTTCACTGCAAACACACACACACACACACACACAGAGGGAGCACAGTAGCGTGTATGCAAGGATGTCAGTGCGATGCGAGAGACCCCAACCCCAGGGATGCCCGTGCAGGTCTGACCTCCAGAGGGTTTGGCCAGCTATCCATTACTCTAGCTGGATTTCCCTTAATTTCACTTAAATTAAGCTGGCTGAGTGCGGGAAGCATCCCCAGGCTGGCTTGGGCAAAGGAGGCCTAACCTCAGCTGAGGAGCAGGAGAG